CACTTTAAAGCTGACTGCCCTGCTTTATGTTCGTCTTTGAGGCGCCTCCCAACTGCTTAAGATCCTGTGGTGAGTGAGTTAACTCTATCCTCTAAGTTTTCCTCAGGAGTTTCTATTATGTCTACATTGTTTTGGGGTAATAAACAGACGCCACTTCTTACTTTTATTGAGTCGGGGGCAGCGGGGAACTTCATCGATGCCTCCTTAGCTCAAGCTTGGAAACTGCCCCTGACCCAGGTGACTCCTCCTCTTCGTGTACAATCTATTGATGGCCCCCCGTGTCTCCAGGACTTCTAAGATGGCAAACTGAATTAATAAGATTGCAAATTGGCGCCACACATGTGGAAGATATCTGGTTTTATCTCCTCGAGACCCCATCACATCCCCTTGTACTAGGCTTTCCCTGGCTCCAACAGCATGACCCTAACATTTCATGGTCCCGTAGAGAAATTTTAACTTGGGGACCCCAATGTATTGGTAGTTGCTGTCGTCTGCCTGTAAGAGTTGCACTCATGGAAACGTCCACTTCTGGTGTTCCTACGATACCCCACCAATATTCTGATCTACAGGAAGCCTTTTAATGAGCAAGAGGCCTTGGCTCTCCCACCCCACCGACCTTATGACTGTGCCATCGACCTTTTGCCAGGAACTATTCCTCCTAAAGGTCGTATATTTCCGGTCTCCAATACGGAATCCGAGGCCCTGAAAGTATATATACAAGATTCTCTGAAGGCTGGAATTATACGCCCATCTACTTCACCTGCTTGTGACAGTTTTTCTTTTGTGGAAAAGAAGGATGGTGGGTTCCGTCCCTATATTGATTATCGTGGCCTTAATGAGATCACTATTAAAAACCGGTACCCTTTGCCCCTAATTCCGGCAGCACTTGAGTCCGTGCATGGGGCCAAGATCTTCACCAAACTGGATCTACAAGGTGCCTATAATTTAATCCGTATTCGGGAAGGGGACGAGTGGAAGATGGCATTTATGACAACCCATGGACATTATGAATATTTGGTCATGCCTTTTGGTTTGGTAAATGCCCCGGCAGTGTTTCAAACCTTTATTAATGATATTTTTCATGATCTGCTACAAAGGTTTGTCTTGGTATACCTTGATGACATTCTAATTTTCTCTAATACCTTCCAGTATCATGTTCTCCATGTCGGAGAAGTACTCTCCCGACTCATAAAGAATAAACTTTATGTCAAACAGGAGAAGTGCACTTTTAATGCTTCTAGGATTCACTTTTTAGGTTACATTATCTCTCCGGAAGGGGTAGAAATAGACTCAAGTAAAGTCTCCGCAATTACTGATTGGCCCACACCCAAGAACCTTAAAGACATACAACGGTTTCTTGGCTTTGACAACTTCTATAGAAGGTTTATTCGAAACTTCAGCTCGGTGGTTGCTCCCATAACCTTTTTAACTCGCAAAGGACCCAGACAAGGTAAATGGACCCCTCAAGCAGAAGAGGCATTTCAGCACCTGAAACACCTTTTCACCACTGCCCCGTCTTGAAACACCCTGATCCTTCTTTGCCTTTTGTTGTTAAGGTGGACACTTCTGGCCATGGTGTGGGCGCTGTTCTCTCTCAACGTCATGGAAAAAAACAGATTCTTCACCTCTGCGCCTTCTTTTCTAAGAAGTTATCCCCTGCACAGATGAACTATGATGTTGGTAACCGTGAGCTTCTGGCTATTAAGTTAGCAATTGAGGAATGGAGGCACTGGCTGGAGGGAGCTCATCATCCATTCTTGATATACACAGATCACAAAAACCTGGAGTATTTACAATCGGCCAAACGTCTATGTCCTCGCCAGGCAAGATGGTCCCTCTTTTTCACCAGATTTAATTTCCTTATCACCTACACTCCAGGCTCTAAAAACATCAAAGCTGACACTCTCTCACGGATCCACGACCCCCCTGAGGCTGTACTGCTTCCTGAACCCATCATCCCTTCTGGTAAATTCCTGGCAGCTGTCAGGTGGGACATAGAAGTCGTAGTTAGACGCGCTTTGGCTGGGCAAACTGTACCTCCTCAGTGCCCTCAGGACAAGTTATTTGTCTCAACCCCAGTCAGATCTTCTGTCTTACAATGGGGACATGACTCCCGCTTCGCCGGACACCCTGGATTCCAGTGTACCTTGGATTTCATCTCTAGAGATTTCTGGTGGCCAACCATGGTTAAAGATGTCAAGGAGTATGTCCAAGCCTGCTCTATATGTTCCCGAATTAAGTCTTCTCAGATGAGGGCGGCAGGCCCTCTTCAATCCTTACCTATCCCCGACCGTCCTTGGACCCACCTCTCAGTTGATTTCATTACTGACCTTCCACCTAGCCAAGGATACACGACAGTCATGGTAGTAGTAGATCGTTTCTCTAAATCCGCCCATTTTATTCCCCTACCTTCCTTGCCTTCAGCTAGGGAACTAGCTGACCTGTTTGTACTGCCTATCTTCCGTCTTCATGGTATCCCTAAAGACGTTGTTTCCGATAGGGGCCCCCAGTTTATTTCACGATTTTGGAAGGCCTTCTGTAAGTCACTGGGAGCCTCAGGTTTGCTTACTTCTGCTTACCACCCTCAGGCCAATGGTCAAACTGCGCGTATGAATCAAGAACTGCTAACCTACTTACGGGCATATATCTCATCTACCCAAGATAACTGAGTGTCATTGCTTCCATGGGCAGAATATGCTCATAATTCTTTGTATACTTCTTGACCGGCATGTCACCATTCAAGTATGCCTTAGGTTATCAGCCTCCTCTTTTCCCGGACTCCCCGCCGGACACAGAAGTTCCTTCTGTTCAGGAGTATATCACTAACCTGCAGGACTTCTGGAAGAAGACTAAAGCCGCCCTTCTTCACACTGCAGCTCGGCAGAAGACCGTGGCGGATCGGCACCGTCGAACCATACCCAGATTTCGACGTGGACAATTTGTCTGGTTGTCTACCCACAACCTTCCTCTAAAGCAACCTTCTGGCAAGCTTGCTCCCAGGTTCATCGGTCCTTTTCGTGTCCTCACCCAGGTTACCCCTGTAACTTATTGGCTGGCCTTGCCTCCTACCCTCAGGATTCACCCTACATTCCATGTTTCCCTCCTTAAGCCCTTTCGCAGATCCACTCTGTATAAACCGCAACAAAAACCCCCACCACCTCGAGTAATTGATGCACTCCATGCCTACACCGTAAATAAGATCTTAGATTCCCGATGGTGTCATGGATCCCTGCAATACCTAGTGGATTGGGAAGGCTACGGTCTAGAGGAGCGGTCGTGGGTATCGGAAAGAGATATACTGGATTCAAACCTGATCCGGGATTTCCATCAGAGTTTCCCTAATTGTCCAGCTAGGGCGTCGGGAGCCGCCCATAGAGAGCGGTGTAATGTTACGATCCCTGCCACTCGGCAACGAAACAGGCAGAAGAAGGCGTAGCCTTAGTTCATTAGTCCGCCTATCAGTGTACGCTTTCACCACCACACCTCCGTCTCATCTGGTATTTAAGCATTAGTCTTTCCCTACCCCTCGCTCAGTATTGGTTTCCCTTTCGAGCCTCTTAGTTGCGCTACGCCTTCTACCTCCTCGCCCTGTTCTGGTTCCGACTTTGGTTTATCCCCTTTTTCTACGGCTTTTGGATTACGGCTCGGCTTTGGTTGCTTTCTCCTAGTTTGGTTCTCTGGCTTCCCCTGGACTCTCGGCTCTCTCCTTCGTCTACGGTTTTGGATTACGGTCTGGCTTTAGCTACCCTCTCCCTGTTTGGATCACTGGCTTCCCCTGAACTCTCGGCTCTCTCCTTCGGCTACGGTATTTGGATCACGACTTGTCTCTATCGGCTCCCGCAAGTGGGTTCACTACTTGGTTTCGGTTTCACTGGCCGAATCCGTAACACTTTCTGTCTGAATTACTTTTTTAAGTGCATTATTTTTCAAGCACTAAAGCTTACCCCCATTTTAATAATGTAACTACTTAATCTCTTTCATTTTATTTTTACTTCTTTGTCTTGTCCTTTTACCTGTATTCATTGTCAAGTCCCTGTGTAATACCAGAAACAATTTTCTCCCTGACTAATAATTAAACACATGTGGCACCAAGTTCTATTTGAGATTATGTCTTAAAGAAAATGATATTTTCGCTAACTAGGCCTATAGAGAAAAAATTCCAATCTTCTTGAAAATATTGCAAATTGAATAGCAAATCTTGCCATGATAATAATTGGATTTAATTTTAAAAGACTATAGAAATAGACAGGATGTGAAATGCGGCACTGGCTTAATAAGTTTAATAAGAATGTCATAACATGCTTTATCCTTTAATGGCACAAAAATGAAAGGCAACAGGTCTCACTTGTGCTTGTGTTTCCAGTTAAATCCATCCATTTTCTAACGACCAGTGCAGGGTTGCTGGGGATGCCGGAGCCTATCCTAGCCTATCATGTCAATAAATGAGAGAGAATTTTATGCTGGTTTCACAAGTTCTCTATCTAATCTTGATGATGACTGGAAGTCAGTTTTAAAAATACCCATTAACTGCCAAAATTGCTTATATTGACTCAATTACAAACCAAGTATAGACCAATAAATCCTTAATTTCATGTAAGGGTTTGGAAATTATAATTTACATTAATTTAAGAGCATTAAATTGAGCTAGAGGGTCAGATACATGGACATCAGATTCTAGTAGATAATCAGTGTGGATTTATAAAAAGCAGGGCTTGCTATTTAACCTGTGTTCTTTGAAGAAACACCAATAGTAATATACTGATATAGTTAGATTTTCAGAAAGCTTTTGGTAGTATTATTCATAAAAGATGAATTCTTCGATTGCAGGCTGTTTAAGCATTCAAGTTAATGTACGTATTGAGAGAGGTTAAGGGGGAAATGTTCAGAATGAGGTGATATTTGTATGATAATGGAAAGCATCGATATGAGATGATAAAACAGTCAACCACGTTTTAGTGAAAAGTGAGGGTGACGTTTCGATTGGTGTTTTGTTGTTGCAGCTACTGGAGCTGTTTGACAGTGAGGACCCAAGGGAGAGGGACTTCCTAAAGACTGTCTTGCATCGCATTTATGGGAAGTTCTTGGGGTTAAGAGCATTCATCAGGAAGCAGATTAACAACATATTTTTGCGGTAAGTAAAGGTCTTCAAATTTTATAAAGGATGAAAACGTCAGGTGTACTCAGGAGTAGGACATTTTATTGTACTTATTTATAATAATATCATGCAGTGTGGTGTTACTTCAGCTGTGTGTCCTTATATATGGTACAGAATAGAATTCTGTCAAATATGGGTTCTGGGTGTTAGATATTGCATGCCAAGTTATCAGTTTAAACAAACACAAATACAAGGAAAATCAGAAATATGATGAGTATTACAATTTAACCCTGGGGTTACCTATATGTATCTGTATCTGGTCTCAGTATTTCTTTATTTGTTAAGAGTTAAAGGCTTTTAAATCCTCTTTCTCAAAGTAAATGTGGTTGACTTTTTTGATCTTTCAGACCTCCTGTGAATGTACGGACATCTACATACTTTATCTGACTGCTTTTTTACATTGCCGTGTGATGTCAAATCGTTCAATCAATCAATCAATTAATCAAAGTTTATTTATCAAATGCACAACAGTACAGCATAGAGCGGTAGTTGTCAGCAATGAAGTGCTTGTTCTGCAAGCTCGCAAGAAGAGACAGGGCAGAAGTTGATAGAATTAAGGTTACCTAGTAGAATACGATAAATTCTACAATTTACAAGATTTACGCCATGAATAACATAAGGAGATATGGTAGGGATAGGAGGTGTCGGGGAAAGAGAAAAAAACGCAGGTGCACCTTATCAGTTTCAATTGCACTAACTATTTATCAGTGATTGTTTGGGTAATTGCTAATGGCTGCCGTGGTTGGCTGTTTAGCAGTCTTATTGCCTGAGGGAAAAGGCTGTTTTGAAATCTGTTGGTCTTTGTATGCTTCGGTATCATTTTCCAGACGGTAGTAGAGAAAACAGATTATGGTTGGGGTGACTGGGGACCGAATAGACCTGGTCTTCTTGAGGCATCTAACAGATTAGATATCCTCGATGTTCGGTAGCATGCAGCCGGTGATGTGCTGTGCTGATTTCACCACCCTCTGCAGTGCTTTGTGCTCTCGAGCGGAGCAGCTCCTATACCAGGCAGTGATGCAGCCAATCAGGATACTCTCAACAGTGCACCTGTAGAAATTAGCCAGGATATGGGACAGCATGCCGAACTACTTTAGTCAGCGAAGAAAGAATAGGCATTGCCGTTCTGTCTTGGTCACGTGGCTGTTGTGGTAGGACCAGGTTAGGTCTTCTATGATGTTAACACCTAGGAATTGAAAACTGTTGACCTTCTCCACTGCGGACCCGCTGATGTAAATGGGTGCGTGGTCTGCTCTTTGATGTTTTCTGTCATCCTCGATAAACTCCTTGGTCTTACTGGTGTTCAGAGAGAGGTTGTTGGTATGGGACCATGCAGCCAGGGTTTTAACCTCCTCCCTGTATGCAGTCTCATCCCCGTTTGTGATCAAGTCGATGATCATTGTATTGTCCGCAAACTTAATGATGGAGTTTGTTTTGTCCTTGGTGGCACAATCGTGAGTGAATAAGGAGTGGAGGATAGGGCTGAGCACACAGTCTTGGGAAGAGCCAATGTTCTGAGTCAGGGTGGAGGATGTACTTGTGCCTACCCTGACCACCTGTGGATGATCCGTCAGAAAATCCAGGATCCAATTGCAGAGAGGGGAGTTCAGTCGTAGGTCCCGGAGCTTGGTGATAAGCTTTGAGGGTGCAATGGATATGAATGCTGAGCTGTAATGATGACTCATGATGACTGTTATGAGTGCAATGGGGCGGTAATCATTTAGGCAGCTAACTCTGGTTTTCTTGGAGACTGGAACAATGGTGGTTTTCTTGAAGCAAGAGGGAACTGTGCATTGAGTAAGGGAAAGATTGAATATGTCCGTGAAGAATTGAATATGTTTGCCAGCTGGCCTACACAGGCCTTTAGAACATGGCCAGGGATAGTGTCGGGGCCAGGAGCTTTGCGTGGATTTGTCTTCCTAAAAACTTTGTCCTGATCATACAACAGCGAGTCTTACTGTATAGCGTCTTAATGTCATCTTATAGTAGAGCTACCATTCCTTGACCTGAATATTACAGATACTACTTTTCTGATCAACTTCATTTTCATAATCACACCTTGGGTTCAATACATTTTAGAAATAAAAATTTCAATCTAGCAATTTATTCAGGCACTGCACTGGAAATTAAAGCTACAGTGAAATTAGTTTTATCTTATGTCTGGCTGTGCTCTGGCTGTGCTCTGTACCAGAAGGTCTGCTTTCAGTTTTACAGATCTATATCTTTGTCCCATACTCTTTTCTTATCCTTCTTTGGTTAATTCTACGAGTTTAAATTGTAGGCTTTGTGTTCTGTACCAGGCTAACAGCTTAAAACATTTTTCCTTGTTTTTTTTAAACAGAATAGGCTGATCTGAAATTCCTTTAATCGGGGATTTAGATGAGATTTGGACAGATTATAGACATGTAGTTTTAAACAAGATACCGTCTCCTTTATGAAACTACAATCTCACCATTTTCTCCTCCGTGTGCTGTATAGTGTTACATGGTGAAGTGCTGATTGTTTTCTAAGCAGTTTTCAAGGTTATGGTACACTAGGGCAGAGCATGTTTACAGTTGTAGAAACAAAGATTAAGTATGTTGTTCATTCTCTTTGAAGTATCTTGTCTTGCACACTTAAAGTCCTACAGTAGCTGGCTGTGATTGTTCCAAAAAGACAGTTCATGTCTTGCATTAAACTACTTCATTAAGGAACTTGGAAGCTTAAACATAAGGAAAACCTGTTTAACTGTTTTCCAATAATTTGTACTCCATACCCAGTATATAAATCATATTATACAGT